CTGAACCCGCCACCCGCCACCTGCCGCCGGCTGTGAGCCGGAAGGGACAAGGGAGGGCCGCTGGCCCTGAGGCGCGGAGACTGAGCAGGGCTCCACGCCCTGTACTTTAGAACTTGGCATTGGGCAGGCCGGGAGCCCGGGAGCCCGGGCGCTCCTGTGGACAAAGCTGGTGTTTTCCCCGCTGACACAGTGAACGGCGGATCAGGGCCCCGTGCCCGCCACCCCAGAGCGGGGAGCTCACGCAGCCACGGGCAGCGCTCGGACGCTGCCGACCCCGAAGCTTCTGGACTGGAGCCAGCCTGGCCCAGCACCAGGGGCGCTCAGACACCCAGAACCCCAGGCCCGTGTTCCCCGACCCGCAGTCCCTGACCGCCCACCCACACGGGCGTCGGCCGCAGCCCGGCCTCAGCTTCCTGTGAGGGGCGGATGGCACAGCCCCGCACTCAGGACGCGGCGGTCCCGGATGTCTCGCGTGCGCCCTGCTCCAGACACACCTGACGCCAGTCCTCTGCGCCCAGGGAGAGGCTGGACGGGGCACGGCTCAGACGCACACTCGGGGCTCGCCTGGGCACTCTCACAGGCTCCTCTGAGGCTGGCCGCCTCAACCCCGTTCTGCAGACCCCCAGACCGCCCGCGTCACCCGATTACGAATGTGTGGGGGCGAGACTCGGTCCGCCCGGCTCAGCCCCTTCCGTGGCGTGAGGGCGCGCGAGCGTGCCAGGGCGTGCCCGTGTGGACGCCCGCGAGCACAGCGCGTTGGGCCTGCTAAGTGCACACGCGTGCGCTGGAGCGTGCACACGGACCCGTCGCACACACACATTTACGTGGGTGCCTGCGTGCGTGTGTGCGTGTTTATGTGCCAGAATTCTACGCGGCCTGAGCAGCCCCGGGTGGGCGCGTGGGGAGCGTCCTTGGGGCCCGGCTGCGTGTCCTGGGGGACATGTCGCACCCACTTCGCTTTACCCTGACGGTGGCAGTCAAGGGTCTCGTGTTGCCAGGAGCTCTCGGGCCCGGCAGCTTTGATTCCGGTAGATTCCCGGAGAGGGCCGTGGGCGGTCTGTCGGCGGAGCCTGCTTTAAATGTGTTTTCCTTTTCCTGCTCCGCAGATGGCAAGGCCGGGTGTGGGTCACGGGTCGCCACTTGATTCATGTCCCGGCACGGAGCCAGGGTTTACATCAGGACACTAGGTTCCCCTAAGAGCCTGGGTTCAGCTCTCAGCAGCAGAAATAATCATGTTTGACATTTGGAGGCACAGAGGACAGGAGCCGAGCAGGCGGCCATAAGGCGTGGGGTGGGGCCCCCCGCACCAGCAGTCCTTTCACCCGCTAGAGGCCCTCACCTGGCCGGGAAGAACTACTGCTCTGAATTCATGGGCTTCCTCTTGGGAAAGATCAGTCCTGCCCAGCACCCTGACTGCCAGAATGGATTGAAAAATGCACCCTCACGATAAATTGCACAACTTATCCAGATACCGCGTCGGGTAGCGGTTGGGAAATGCCAAGAAGCGGGCTCATTGGTAGTAATACAGTTCTTATTACTGCAGGACCTGCCCTGGCCTGCACGTCTCAAATGCCCACAGCCAGGGCTAGGTCCAGCATGCAGAGGTCACAAGCCTCTGCTATCCCAGCACCTCCGCCCCCTTCCCCAGCACTGTGACCACCACGACCACCAGCGACCATCGCCACCCCCCCATCAGCAGCACCGTCACTGTCACCACCGCCACCACAGCCATCACCACCACCATCACCACCACCATCACCATCACCACCACC